AGTGTAGCTTACACAGACATTTCTCAAATTCAAACTTGGACGTATCTTTCCCTTTCTCCCAACCTTCCAAGAATTCCTTGCTGCCTTCAGGAGAAAGTCCACCCTTCACAGCACAACATCAAGACTCTTTAATGAAGGTCAGGCCCCTGATACCCTCTCCAATCTCATCTCATGTCACGGCTCTTAACACTAACTGTGCATCCCTGAAGGTCATTTGCACACACCTCTTCCCGTGTTGGCAGTGCCCTCTAACACCCACACCACATCCCACTACTTGGCTTGGGGAAGATTTCCCAGATGACTAACCTCATCCAGGTGCCTTTCCCAGGTGCAGTCACAAGACCATATTCATGTCATACCATGTTCACATGAAATATTGTATTTTAAAGTGAATATACTTGCCATTAGCCCCCAAGAAGGTGAAGTCTTTGAAGACAAAACCATGTCTTATTGGTCTTCCACTTTTAGTACCTACTACAGTGCCTGGCACATAGAAAATGTCAAGTAATTACCAAATGAATCAATGAATGCATGAATTAATGAATGAATTATCCACATCCGTTTCAAGGGAGCAATTCCACCTGCAAACATTCTGCCTATGACAAGGATAAAGGAAGACAGGACTAGGATATATATAATCATATCAGTAAACTGCTTGTTTTAATAGGGTCAATGCCTACTGACCTATGAATGGTAAAGACCAATGAATGCATCCCCAGCATCTCAAAATATACTGTGTATTAAGCCTCAGTGCCTTGAAACCTAGTCATCTAAGCCATCTTTAAACCTGAGTCATTTATGCCACCTGCAGCAACAATAAGGAAATCTGTATCATTGTCTTAGGATCAAGTAGTAGGAAAAGTAAATGAAGAGAGATGTTTGCTCTTTGGTGTATGTCATTCACAGAACAAAAGCAACTGCACTATCCCGGCACAGGACAGCTCAGGTTGCAGTCTCTTACATCTGACCTAAACAGGGCAGCCAATAGCAAGCATGGCCTTCACATGCCCTCCTGCTAATCCCAGAACTTCTTCCCTTTTTCAGAAATACAGCATCAATGAGGGAAGTGACTCAGAGCAATCAGATGGCAAATGGATAGTAGTAAGTCCCATGGGACCCTGCTGGCTAAGAAGAGTTTTCTTAGAAAACAAAGGTTACCCTCAGGAAAATGACCCAGGAGATTGTCTTCTCCCATCTTCTCTGCTCCTCATTGTCCATACTCCTTTCTTGGGCATCACATTTGTTTGTGTCATTTGGCTCCTTTTATGCTGAGGATGCCTAAATCTGTACATCCACCTCAGCCTCTGAAGGTCTCATTTTGTGTTTTAACTATTTGGAAAAAACAAACTCCTCCACTCCAACTGGGGACACAAAACATATGCATGAAAAGACAGAAACCTCTAGCACTACTAAGATTGTCCTAAGAAGCCTTTTATAGAAAAAGGGTCTCAAAGGAACTACAGAGTTGTAAAGAGCAAAGACTGAAAGCAGGCAATGGCTAAGCACCTAGCACTCAGATCACACAAAACCAGGTTGGATCCCCACAACTACCCTTACTACATGTGTGGCCCAGGCAAAGTTTTCTTTCTCTCCCATCCCTCAGTCTCCCCATCTAAAACCTAGGACTAACAGCAATCCCTGTATCATGAGACTGACTGCTCCATTCTCTGGCTCCTTCTACTGTGCCCACAAAGTTTCTATTGTCTCCCAAATCTTAATTAAGAAAAGAAAATACTGCCATGTGATGGGAGAAGCATGTGATAGGAATAAAGAGGTACAAACTTCCCATTATAAATAGAAATTTCCAAGGATGAAAAAAGTACAGCAGAGTAAATTCAATAATATTATAAAATCTTTGTATGGTGGCAGATGATAACTACACTTACCATGGTGAGCATTTTATAGTTTACGTAATTGCCAAACCACTATGTTGTTCACCTGAAACCAACAATAAATCAACTATATTTCCATAAAAACAAAAAAAACAAACAAAAATAAAAAATAAAACACTTTGCTATTCTCTAACTATTGTCCCTAAATCCTTGCCTTTCCCATAAAACTTCTTGGAAGATAGTCTGTGGTCAGTATTTATCCTTGTTCCCCTTCTACTTTTAGCTCAACATTCTTTGGAAACTTCTCACTTTGGTTCATAGTGACCTAATTGTCAATTATAGTACCTGTTCATGCATCTTGTTTGCAATGATGAGGCAAATCTGCAAAGAAAGGCGGGCTTTCTCCCTGGTAGGAGCCTCAAGACAAACTGGCTGGATGGGCTAAGGTGTGTACTAGAGCAGCCAAAGCAGCATGATGGAAGGGATGGTGAAGGAATGGTAGTGGAGCGGGGAGCCAAAGATCAGTGGCAGAGGAGATGTACTAATATCAGGATCAAGCAGTGAACACACAGAGCTGAGAAAAACAAGAATAAAGGGCATGGACCCTGCAGTGGCATCTGGGCCCCTTTTTATTAGATGTGGTTATTTGCCACTTGGGGAGGTTGCACTTCTACTTACTTTCTCTGTAGCATTTGTCACTATTAACCTCCCTTCTCTACATCTTGGAAATACTCTCTCCGGGCCTGGATCCTGGGAGTCACTCCCCCTGGGCTCTCCTCCAAGGGGAGTCTGGTCCTTCTTAGCTCACGGTCCTCTCCTCCACCTGCACTGAGGTGTTGCAGTCAGCTGGGCTAACATGTCTCCTCCTCAACTTGAGCTGATCTGATCAACGAATTTACTTCTCCCTGGACATGATGCTAGAAAGTACTTTCCAGCCTCCCCTGCAATTAGATGTGGCCATGTGCCTGAGTTCTAGCCAACAGAAGGCAAGCACAGGTGTTGTTCACTATTTCTAGAACTTAAAAAATCCCCTCTGAGATCCTTCACACCCTTCCCCGCCCTGCTAACTACATGCCCACACCTAGAGCAACTTTGCCAACGAGACGTTAAGAGACAGCAGAGCACCTTTCAGCCTACCTCCCTGATGCCTGTACAGAGAAAAGCCTTCCCTGTGAATCAGAAATGCACTTATTGGATTTTACTTGAGCAAGAGATACCTTCTGCAGTAAGTCACTGAAATTTTTAGGATTATCTGTTACAGCCGCTACCACCTTTACTGTTAAATGCCGAACCTACATATCATTTCCAATCCTTTATTCTTAACATTAGATTCAAATTTCTAATTTCTTCCCTTTCCATTACAAGACTAATTCCTAATTATTTTTCACGAATTATTCCCTGGACTTCCCAGTCTGCGTTGGGTTTCTTTCCTGTGTGCTTCCAGAGCACCTCACTTATTAACATAACTATAATTAGCTGCCTCCCCAACTCTATGGTGAACATTTTAAAGGGAAAAAATGGGTTTTAATCTCTGGATCCTTTATCCCTGGCTGGCAGTCAGGAATAGTTTCTTGTAAAAACAATGGGATGAATGAATAAAGGAATTTGGATTTGCCATATTAAATATGAAGGTCCAAAGGTACTGTGTTCAAAGTTTATAAAAAAATGAAACGATGAAGAAACTAAATGAGGAACTTTTAAAATTAATCCTCAGAAAAGACATATAAGAAGAAACTGTTAAAGGTTAAAAGAAGAATTTTTAAAGATTTGATTTTAATCCTTAAAGATTTAAGAACAAACAAAAGAAGGCTTTCTTGAGCACTCAGTATACTGAGACTTCTTATAAAATGATAGGAGGAATAATAAAAGTCTGTAAGAAGTTACTACAGGATACTTGGTTTATTTAGAGTATTGCCTGAGCTTTCTGAGCTTGATAGTGAAGAAAAGACATAGCCTTCTCGACATACCACTTAGATCCCTGGAGGGGAGGAGACCTTTTTTTTTTTAAAGCAACTCTTCTGTAATAATATCAAAATTGTTATTTGGCACTTTAGAGTGAGGCTTCCTCATGTTCCACCAGCTTACATCCTGGTGACAATTCAACTGCACGCCACAACCCACGGGACAGTGGCATTTGGAGTTCCTATGCAGAACCCAAGTGAGAGGTAGGTGACCAAATGTGGGGCTAGAGAACAAACCAGAACATCCCAGGGCATTTTTTTTACCTCCTTCACCCCTTTGCATACAGCATTTTCCTTGCAAGCCAAGGAAGAATTACTACAAAAGCCCACGTGTGACTTACAGAAATAACCAGCACTCTCATTTTGCTTTCAAGGCCTTTCTCCTCTCCATTCCTGGGAAAATTCCATAAAGGAGTAACTAGCTTACTCAAAAGACTATTTCAGTGACTTCTGTTTACTCTATAAAGGCTAACTTTTAAATTACAGATCATAAATGATAGCTAGATTTTGTTCATCCTTGACCTTTCCATCGCTTTCACTGGCTCAAGACATTTAACTTGCATCTGCAAAGATGTGACTGATCTAAAGGGAGCTGCAACATGAAACAGACATTTTCCTTTTACAGAAACAATATTTAACCTTTAACTCAGAACTTCATTCTGAAAGATGTAAAGTATCACACTCACCTGGAGCTGCGATATAGTCAGAGGGTATCGGAATAATATCCAGGTAACACCTTCACTGCAAGGTGGAATAGTGAGAGAGCCTTCATATACCCAATAATCCCGCAGCAAAGGATCTGTGGACATGTCATGAAAAAGCCAGTTAATTAATAATCATTTTGCAGACTCCAGCAATAATTTTCACAATTACAAATTCTACAAACACTTCTCAGACTGAGACCATTTTAAACTAGAGCCTCACATATATGTATTCTTCAACTAATCATCATGAAGAAAATAACCAGTGGAAACCATGACAAACCCTCTTTCTATTACTTACAGTGATTTCTATCACCAGATTACTGCGCAATCCAAATATGGCTACATAAACTTGATAAATGTAAACTTTTAGAAGTGTATCCATATTTTTTTAATTTACTGAAGGCAGTACTTGACTTATTCGTATCTAATATTTATTGAATGCTTACTACATGTGAGGCTATTCTAAGCTACTATTCTAAGCATTTCACATTTTAACCTTCACAACAAGCCAATGAGATAGGTACTATTAGCCCCACTTCTCAGGTGGGGAGACTGAGTCACAGAAGGTTACATAATTTCTCAAGGTCACTCAGCTAATAACTGGCAGAGGCAGGATTTGAACCCACACCATTTGACTTCAAAGTCTGTTTTTAACCATTCTGTTCTAGCTAACTCTATACTGCCTCATCAACAGCAAAATATTAAAGTCATATTATGATGGGACGAAAGAAATCATTCCTATGGAATATTTTAGCTCTGCACCAGAGGAATTCATGATTAAATATGATGGGCAAATGTTCAACACATGGCAAAAACAGGCTTGTTGCAGAACAAATAAATGTAGAAAGTAGAAGATACAATGCATCAACTGTTTTTGTTTAAAGCACTAAAAAAAAGCATATAATTTAGGCAGAGAAATGTGAAAAAACAAAATTTTGTACAAAACAACCTTTAACAACAAATTATATTCTGAATACTTTATACACAAGACTTACCTTTTCAGGTATATCTAAATCATTAGAATATCTAAATAATAGTATCATTGCAGAGAGTCTAGGATTGATCAAATTCTTATTAATCTCCAGATGAAATATTCTGTATCTAATTATATAAGGTAGACTCTTGCATTATGTTGTTACACTTGTGCTTTACACAGAGGTAGCCAATTTTACAAATGAAAATCCAAAGGAAATTCTTCATGGATTAATGGAGGTTGGTGGCAAAATGTTCATTTTCAAAAGGTTTGCTCCCATTTTAGAGCAACCTGAAGCTGGCACCTACTACAGAGAATTTAAGTTGTAAAGAAACTTTATGAACTAATAATATATAGTTAGATATATTCTGAGAAAAACAATGCAGTCTATATCTATCCATTTTAACTGTATTACTCTTACCTGGTAATAAAGTGTTAGGATTAAAACAGGGTATTGTTTTGGACTTCCCCTGAAAAAAAAATTTATCCCATGTTAACATTTCTAAATTTTAGAATAAAAATTAATTATCTTTAGAAATTCAGGCTGAAGTCTTTTCTGAATGGCATCATCAGACCCCATAGATTTGTGGATGTCACATTCCATCTTCTCATTGGAGCAATGGTGGCTGGTTCCAACAAGATACTTCTGCTCTGCGTCTAGAGTTATTTTCTTTGCTACTGCAGTTCAAATTTCCCTGTAATTCCTGATGTGAGATTTACAATTGTCTGTCTAGCATGGGTCCCATGCCAGCTGCCTTTCCTGTTCCTAGCACACCTGTAAGGGAGATTTGGACCTTGGTGTAAAACATCCCATGCCTGGCTCAGGAATTCTTTAGAAATGACTTTCTCCTGCTTGCTTTCATCTCAACTCCTAACCTTCTCCACATTACAACCTGCCACCCAAATTCTTTGTCCCATTTGGTTTTGGTAACTTAGCTCTAGGATCAATTCTGGAAGCTCTCCTCCTCCAGAGAGGGAGATCTGACACTTGAATTAAAATACTCAATTTTAATTAACTTTTGTCAAAGCTAAATTTAAATTTCAGTAAGATACTTTGGACAGTATTCAACAATTCACAGTTGTGATCACTATTTTAAATAGTGCCATTTAAATTGCTCAGGTCTTAAAGGCAGACAGACCTGTCCTGGCAGTTGGATTCTCTTATAAAATTATTCTACTGATGCAGAATTAAGAGAGAAAGTTAAGGCATAACCTCTTAGTCTCTTCCTTACTTGTATGGACTATCTGACACACTGAAGAATCCAGTTTACTTGATTCCCATCATCTTCCTGATTCCATGAGTAACGTCATTTTAGCTGGAGCAATAAAGGAAAATATCTCAACTAATTTCCACTGGACAAATGTCAGTCAGAATTGTCCTTGCCCCCTTTCACCAGCTTCTTGGACTAGTCTGCTCTCCCTTGGTAGCCGGATTCATTCTGAGCCTGATGGTAGAGGTCCACACTGAGTTCAGGAAACCCTGGGCCTGTGCAAGCACACTGCTGATCACTCTTCATTCCAGACTGAGTTTAGGACTGGCCCTGGGTCTTTGGATGCCTGTGTTACATCTCCAGTAGCCATACAGGATTAAACTAGACCACCCCCAAGCTCACTCAGATTCAACAGACTCAGTCTAAATATAAATGTACTGTTTACTCTTTATAACTGAGCTTGGCTTCCCAGCAATGCTGGGCTGAATCACTATAGGGTCACACCAACCTAAGTCACTTTTTCTAGCATATATTTATTTATCTTATGGCTTATGTATACTTGTCCTTTTTTGCTCATTTGTTTTGTTTTTTACAGTAATGCTTTGAAGTATGGTTGCCACAATTTTTATTTCATTTATGCAACTTTCTAGTTGTCTATTATTTTATTTACACAGCTTTCCTATGGTCAATGGGTAGAAAAACTCAGTAGAGGCCTGGGTTGCTCAAAAAAAGTACTGAGAGTTCATCTCTGAACTCATGGAATAGTCTGCCTGATAAGAATGTTTTTGCACACCTGAGGCCTTGGGCCCTGCTGTACCAGTTGGTACACACCTAATCACAATGTGATTTAGGTGAATGCTGGTCTTGCTCAGGGTCGGGGTGAGGGCTGGAATCAGAGTAGCTCAGTCACCCAGGCACTTCATGCTTCCATAACTGAGCCCTCACGACGTCCCTGCACACCAAGGTTCAGGAAGCTTTCCCGGTTGGTAACACTTCACACACGTTGTGACATATCATCACTGGGAGAAACAGATACATGCCAGACCAGTTCACCAGGAGGGACACCTGGAGGCTTGCAGCTGGTTTCTCCTAGGCTTTGCTCCCTGCCCCTTTTCATGTGCTGATTTGTGCTCCATATCCCTCCCCTGTAATAAACCGCAACCATGAGAATAACAGTGAGTCCTTTCAGCCACTCATCAAGCCTGAGAGTGGTCTTGGGGACATCTCACACAACCAGTATTTTTATTTACTTTTATTAAATAATGACTTACCTTATACTGGATATCCTGGAGGATTTCAGTTACAGCCTTCAGGCCTACATGTTCTTTTCCTATCTGAAATATATAAAGCATACACCGTAACCACAAAACTTTTAAATACTTAGCTTTTACTCAAAATTTACTAACAGAAGTGAAGCTCAAGTCCACCTGTATATCCTTCTTGGGGAATAATTAAATAACCATTTTATTAATAACCAGGTCAACATCTACTAAAGGTAATTCAAGTTGGAACAGAAACTAGTAAAATAAAGTCTTAGATATGTTCTTAGACATTTCCAAGAATCCACTCTAAATTTACCTTCCTTAGTATAGGTATATAAAATGATACAATAGTATAATATAAACATTTCAAGACTAATTCTGAAATATGATTTATCACATGCCCAAAGCCTTCCATTCTCCTCGTTGGCATTTCTAGATCATTGTTACAAAGATGTTATCAAGGTTGAAAAAATTTTATTAACTAAGGAAAAGTGGGTATGTGACTTCATATGTTAAAATCACCAAATCAGGACATTTCTTGATTGTCACTGGATAGAATTCTATAATCACCTTTGTATTCTTCAGTAAGTCAGATTATGCTATATATAGCTTTTTATTTTAAAGCATTACATATTGTTACATATTTTTGGTCTATAAAATGTTCCAGAGAATTTGAGACTTCAGAAACTTGATATTAGGTAACCTTGACTTTAACTTTAAAATTTATGAATGCATTCTGATTTCTACTTTTCTACTAGGTTTCAATGGTCCATGATGGTGGAGAAGAGCAAGAGCATGAGACAATTGATACCTCAGATACCCAATCACTGATATTGTTTGCTTTTTCTCTTCCACATAAGTTTTTGGAAAACGGCCTACGAGGAGCTAGACTAGTGGTCAACATGTTCACATTCTCTGTCTCTCTGCCTATGAGCTAACTGAAATATACTCAGTGAGTGGGCAGCAGAGAGGAGAGAAAAGAGACAGGAAGCTTACATAGTTTAAGAGAGGCCAACCAGTTCAAAACAATCAAGACTTCATCTATTTTCCAAGTGTTTGCAATTCCTGAAACAGGCTGTAAAAACAGAAAATATATTCTCCGGAGTTCAAAAAAAAAAATTAAGGCAAATATACTCATGAGTGCAAAAGCCTGGACCACTAGGCAGAAAACTTCACCAGATCTCCAGGCAAATGGACCCCCTCTTGGTTGTATTTGTTTACTGGTGATGTAGCAACCAACAGTTGAGGTCTGTTTGCACTTCATGCATCTCCTGTCAGATTATGACTCTCTGAAGAGTCCACATCTGAATGCTGCAAGGCCACATAGTACGTAGTGGTTCAGGAGGAAGGTCCCATGGGTTGGATGCCTAGGTTCTGATCCTGACTCACTTTTCAGTCTTCAGCAAGTTTATTTACCCTGCATATCCCTCAGCTGCCTCATCTATACAGTGGGGGACACAAGTGGAAGGGTTCAAGGGAGGCTGAATCAAAGACCTTAGAACAGGGCCTTCACGGTGCATCAGAAACCAGTTAATGTCACCATTGTTATTCATACTCAGAATCCCATACAGCATCAAATACAGTGTTCACATAGGGGAGCACTTAATGACTATTTCTGGCTCCTTCTGTTTATAAAGATTCTTTGCTTTATGGGCAAAACTTTATATTCTGCCACAAATTCCAGCTGTTGCTCTACCTCCTTCTTTTCCTTGACAAATCTGTGTTTGCAGTGATGACACCACCAAAAGTTAGTAGAGATGATCCTTTGTGTCCCCCGCCCCTAAAATCCCACAGCAGTCAGCTGACAGCACAACCTGCTGCCAAGGGTCCACCAGGAGCCGTGAACTAGTTAACTTCTCACATCCCACCTTTGTGACTTCTCACTGCCAGCCACAATGCACACTTCTGACCAGTGTGTCCTCCTAGCACCTTAGCCCTGTGTGGCCCCAGGTTTCCACTTCTAACTCTAACCTGCCCTCATTTTCCGCTGTGCCTTCTTCCAAAACGGGTGATGCACCATCTTTGACAAGCTCTCCCACCACCTCCTGGACTGTGAGCCCCTAACGTCTGCTCTCCAGGCCTCCCAAGTGGACGCTGTGCAGTCTACCTCAGACACAGGACAATGAGCCGTGGTCAGCACCCTGCCGTCACCGTCAGATGGGTACTCTGACCCACATGCGCAGGGCCATCCTCCCGAGTGGACTCTCATGCTCTACTGTTGCAAAGGTAAACCACTGCAAAGCTGAAAAAAAAAGAAGGCTCTTCTTTCTGCCTTCACTCTGGAGGACTTCAGCATCCATGTGGGTGACCAGTCCCACCCTGGCCTGTCTCCTCACCCCTCAGTCCATGGCTTTCCATCCCATTCCACTTCAGCAAACCAATCCTGAGAATGCTCCCTGGGTTTGTTTTCACTCTGAGACTTCAACTCCCAAGACCATTGCCCCTGACCATTCCCCGCCATCCAGCCTGCCCTCCTTTTGCTTCCTCTCCCCACTCATGATCACAAGGAGCCAAGGGGCTCTCCTGGGTCGCATGGCTTTGTCACCTTCCGCTCCTGCCTATGCTGAATGGCATCCCTTCAACCACCTCAATTCTCTAAACCTGCCTTCCTCCTAAATCAGATGTTTTGCAATGAAGAATGCAACACTTGGCTAGAATTCTCTACTCCTCTACCTCCATAGAGAAAAACCCAATACACATTATCCTGTCTGATCTGTGATATCCAGTCACCAGTGGGGCGCCCATGCTGACTGTGAAATCTATTACCATACCCTTTATGGGCTATTTCAAAACCCAACCCCACACCCACATTTCCCTTGTCCTATAAATAATTTTGCACGTATGTCTCAGAAATAATAAAGGTCATCAGGCACGAATTCCCCTACTTTCCTGCCTTTCTTCACCTTTCATTCATCCCTTCTGCACCTACCCTTTCCTCTGACTTCCTATTTCAGAGAAAGGGTGGGTTCCCTCCTATCCAAGGTTAGTCTGTCCACAAAAGTTCTCCATCCCATGCCTTCCTCTCTCCTCCAGGACTTACTGTATCAATTATCCCTTTGCTTTCCAGGATTTTAAAACTCTAAACCTGCTCTAGCTCTTTTTGCTCAGAATAAAAACACAGGCAGATCTCAGATCTCAAAACAAAACAAAACAAACAGAACTTCACCATACATCACCACTAGTTATTACCCCATGTTTCTTTCTTTGAGTCAAACTTCTAGAAAGGGATTTCCACGCCTCCAGCTTCCTCCCACTTCCCACTCCTCTTGCTCAAGTGCCAAGCCTCCGATGACTCTGCTTCAGCTAACACTCCTGATTAGTCCTTTCTTTCATGAAATTTTGCTCTCAGAAGTTATTATACTCTCTCCTGGAAGGCATTTTCAACAGATGACCTGACTTTTTTCCTTCCAGCAAACTCACGGAAAATTAGGTCAAGTGTGCATGCTTTCAAGCATCCCCTTGCTATCATGAGCAGTTACTGGAGATACTGACACTGATTCCAAGAATCCTGACTTGCTCTATTAGTTCACATTACCAGTGATGTACTAAGAATCAGCAGATGAAAATATTAAGTTATATTTAATTACATTCACAAATATTGAGTACTAACTCCAAAGATGAAAGTAACACATTTCCTTCCCATCTATATATGACCATTCAGTTATTTGCATTCTAATTTTTATTTTTTATTATTACTTCTATTCTTTTTTTAAATAAAAAGATATTTACTTCCACTTCTACTGCAACTTGTCAAATGTGTATACTTGAACATTTTTCAGCTTATGAAAAAAATGGACTTAAATTGTTATTACCTCAGTATATAAAGATCACCAAAAGGTATTTGTACAACTAAATACATTTTTATCAATGTTTTGCATTGCAGTTATAAAATAAAAGGAAATGATGGCCACTATCCAAAAGACAATAGATAACAAGTGTTGGCAAGGATGTGGACAAAAGGGAACCTTCCTACACTGTTGGTGGGAATGTAAATTGGTGAAGCCACTGTGGAAAACAGTACAGAAGTTCCTCAAAAAGCTAAAAATAGCAATATTATATGACCTAGTAATTCCACTTATAGAAATTTACCCAAAGAAAACAAAATCCCTGTTTCAGAAAGATGTATGTTCCACTATGTTTTTTGCCACATTATTTACAATAGCCAAGATATAGAAGCAACTAAAGTGTTCATCATTAGATGAATAGATAAAGAAGATGGGGTACATATACACAATGGAATATTACTTGCTATAAAAAAGAAAGAAATCCTGCCACTTGCAACAACATGGATGTACCTCGAGCATATTAAGCCAGGTGGAGAAGGACAAATACCATATTATTTCACTTATATGTGGACTATGTAAACAAAACAAAACAGAATGAACAGAACAGCAATAGACTCACAGACACTGAGAAGTGACTGGTAGTTACCACGAGGGAAGAGATGGGGGTGGGTCAAGTAGGTGAAGGGATAAAGAGGCACAAAACGCAATCATGATATAAATTGGTCATGAGGAGGAAAGTGCAGCATAGAGAATATAGTCATGATTCTGTAACATCTTTCTATGTTGACAGAAAGTAACTATACTAATTGAAGCGAGCATTTAATCATGTAGATAACTGTAAATCACTGTTTTTTTTACTTGAAACCAATGTAATATTTTTTTTGTTTTTTACTTGAAACCAATGTAATATTGTTTATCAACTGTACTTCAACTTAAAGGAAAGGTTTTAAGAACTCACTAGTGGAAAATAAAATAGAAGGAATATTAGGGTCCTGCCTATGGAAAAACCACAAATAGTGAGAAGAGGATTAATTTTAAAATGTAATGATATTTTTTAAAATTCTGCTATGTGTCATACTTTCAAGACACTGATATTAAAGTATTAAAAGATTAAAACCAGATGTCTACTTTCAAATATCAATAGAGAAATATTTTAGAAATAAATTTATAGTAGAAAATTATAATTAATACTACTATTGAAATATATGCCACAAAAAAAAGCAAGTACAAAGGCCTCTTGTCTAACTCTCTTTAGAAAATTTAACTCAGTAAAGACCACTATGCTAACATTACTCCTCTAATCCCAGGTTATCCAAGAGGCAACCAGGCACTACACAGAGATGAACAATGGTTTCTGGTATTGACTGGTGACATGAAATTCCTGGGTGACTGTAAACAATGACTTGACCTCTCTAGCCCTTGGTTTCTTCTGTAAGATGGGAGACAGGGGGCCCTAAAATTTCCAGGGTCTCCTTCACCTGTGAGTCTTTTATCACATCAAGCAGAAGATAAGACAAAGTTAAAAAGATTGGCCATAGGAACTAGAATAAATTTTTACCTTTGAAAGTATATGGTCTGCTTTTGTATATTTCACCAAATTTAAATATACTGTCTGCCACAGAGCTCAACTCTAAACTCTATATTGACCATACTCACCAGTAACTTTGCCAGTCTTATTTTATCAGAATTTTCTATAAGGTGTTTCAAATCAACTTGCAGTGAAAATTACTAATAACATAGAGCTTAAGGAATCTACTACATAATTATATTATTGATTTCTCTTAGATTTCACAGTAAAGCCAGGGTCCAAAAACATTTTCTGAAATTCTTTTCCACTAATAAAATGAACTCTGCCTTCAGGAGACATTTTCTGAATCATTTCTCTGATTCTGAATGCCACTCTAAGGAAAATTTCTACTAAGTAAAAGAACCATTTCCTACCCATGAGTATGGGCTGCTCTGTCATGACCCACAAAGGTGAAGTTTTCTATTTTTAAATTTTCAATGTTCTCCGTGTATAAGTTTAGTGTCACCTCTAAGTAATAAAAGTGAGAGTGAACAAAAAATATTCGGCAAATGAATTAGAAATAAGCCACTCTGAACAATATGACAATCACTACAGGAGACCATTTACCTGAACAAACAAAGCAATGATGGCGATTCCATGCGGCTTCCCCACGGCCTCATCAATATTGCCAAACAAGGTGGAGTTCCAGTGGATCAGATGCAGCTGGGTGAGCAATGAGAGACAGGTCACCTCATCACCTAATGTACTTTTCTCTTCAGGAAAATGAAGATGTATCAACTTCTCCTTAACTGTTTCTGTACAGTAACATATGCAACAAGTGTGTCACAGACAGGCACAAACAAATGACTGCTTTAGTATAGGGTATCTGTAGGAATCTTTTATCTCTGGACGGAAGCACTGCTTAGTGGATCACTGCCTCTCAAGTTCTGCTTTAGTCCTGATCAGGAGCAAATCTAAAGGACTGGGAGAATTCACATTGATTCAGTTGCCTTTCCTTAAATGTCATCCCCCGGATTTCAATAGAATACAATTCTAGGTCTGGGCACAAACACTCATTCAAAGTATTAGTACCTGTATAATCAAATATGTGTCCCCCCTCTGGGTTCCCACCAAGAGGATAAGACAAAGCCAGTCTCAAGTTCTGGTAAATTATTTCACCTTTCCAAGGATATCCAGAGATAGCATCCTATAATGCTGCATCTTTTTAAAGCCATGGTAATATAATGAATTCTGATGTACAGCTCTAAAAGAAAGCTATTTCCTGCACTGGAGATAAAATTTTATCTGTGAAGGAATGACAAACAATGCTCTAGAGGGCTCCCTCACTCCTAGTCTCATAAAGCTTTGTAGCTTTCAAGTTTATCTAGAATATGCACTTGCTCCTACAGCACTGATAAAACACTTGCAAGAAGCCAAATTCAATTCCCTGCTTAAAATCAAATGGCCTCTGAAGTTCTTAGTTAAACAGCAGCTTGGTATAAATCTTCTGCCTAGAATGCTATCGTCATCAGTAAAGCTTTTGATCAAGTTGTAAGTACTTACCACCTTAAAACTGCCTCATTTAAATATTAGCTCTAATCCAAAAAGCATAGCTAAAATTCAATCACCATGCCATTTTAGCATTCATATTAAAATATTAAGGAAAATTATCATGAGGATTGCCACTCATTTGTTTTTTCTACTGCCGAAATAGTCTAACTAGAATTTGAGATTATAAAGCTGACCACTAGGGGGAGGTAATGAAGTCCTCTGCATACAACAGAAATGGTAACCTAGGGAAAAAACTGTACCCAATGTCAGGCTCTGAAAAACCCACATGGCCTCTGACCACCCAGTGACTATATCTGTCAAGGCACTGCCTTTAAGAAAACAATGTTCTATAACCTTTTAATTAGTAACGAAAGACAGACAGACCAGTTTTAATGTTTCCTTTTCTGGCTGCAACAATAGCGTGAGTCCCAGAGGTACGGATAAGAACCAGTTGCCTTAGTTAAATCAACAAATAAGGGCCCAAGGTCAAAATCTATTTTTATTCAACAAATTACAAAGTTCAAATCAACATTTTTCTTACTCCTCATAGCAACATTATGGGGTATTTTTTCTGAAACAAAATAAAGCCAAAAAGCAGTCTTCTTTTTTTTCTACTCTTCATAGTGGTACATCATTACTGACATTATCATTACTGTCACCTTCGAAAGTTCTTCAAAAACTGCTTCACATGTTTTCGTATTTAAAAAACTGAGGGCCCCCACTCCTTCAGAGTATACCACACATGACGACTTCATTTCAGAGAACAGTACAGCAGAGCATGTTTACAGGAGAAACCCGACACATACTCCCTGAGCCAGGTGATTAAGGTCAACTCCAACAGCCATCAATCATGTGGATCGTCTGCACCTATGATATGCTGCAATGAAAATGACATTTCACCTCTGTCGTCTCCGTCCCAGTAGCCCACAAGCCCAGTTGAGTCATGAGAAAAATATCAGAAAAATAGGTTGGGTGTGGCCATTCTACAAAGTAACAAAGCTCAGTAGAGACCATTCTACAAAATACCTGACCAGGACTCCTCAAAGCTGTCAAGGTCATCAAAAACAAGGAAAACCTGAGAAAATGTCACAGCCAACTGGGGCCTAGGGAGACATGAGAACTCAGTGTAATGTGAAATCATAGGTAAGATCTTGGAACAGAAAAAGGGCATTAGTTTAAAATGAAGAAAATGGAATAAAATTAAAACTTAATGTATAGATTTTGGCCCACTGATTACAACAAATGTAACATGCTAATGTAAGATGCTAATAACAGGGGAAATGGTGTGGGTTATATGGGAATTTTCTGTGCTAACTCCATGATTTTCCTGAAAATCTAAAACTGCTCTAAAAAATACAGTCTATTAGAAAGGAAAAGAAAAATTAAGGGAAATGCTGGCACATCAGCCAACCCAAGCTAAAAAGGACAATGGAAGATCACTCCAACCCTGTGTGACTACATGGCAGGAAAGGAGCTAGAATCCCCCTACCACCTGCTGTTCATTCTGCTCTTCGGGTCTTCAGTGATCACCTGGAACTTGATTCAGCAGCAGAAGAGATTCTTCCCTCACAGACAACAAAGGACCCATGCTTTAAAAAGAAAGCTCTATCCTGGTACTTACTGAGAAAGCACCTTCTCTTGGAAGCTCTTCCTCTCACTTTAAGACCAAACAACACACCATTAGAGCTCCCCTTTCCACACCATTAGAGGAGAGTTCATTCAAGTACTAAGCAATCTCCAACACATTCTGGAAGCCAGCTGTATCTGAGTAGTAGTAACTCGGATGCACGGTCCACAAATACAACACTACATTTTCACTGCCTCTCACTTTTGTCTCACTCTTGAGTTCCCAGAGCCCTTCCTCACTACACCTGGATTAGTTTGCAGGGGACATAACAAAGTACCATAGGTTGTGTGTGCAAAGAACAGAAATTTACTGTCCGCAGTTCCAAAGGCTGTAAGTCCAAGATGAAGGTGCCAACAGGCTCAGCTGCTTCTGAGGCCGTCCTGCTTGCCCACAGAGGCCTGCCTTCTCCTGTGTGTCCCCACATCCTCCTTCCTCCATGCGTGGCTGTGTCCCAATTTCTGCTTCTTACAAGGACACCACCATTCACACCTGCCCTAATGATCTCATTTTAGCCTGATTACATCTGTAAAGATCCTGTCTCCAAACTTGGTCACATTCTGACATACCAGCACTTAAGACTTCAACATGAATGGGGGAGTCACGATTCAGCCTGTTTCACCATCCATCTCAGCCCTCTCCTTTCTCCCCAACTTACAAAGTTTTTCCAGATTTCAACAGCTGGAATTAGTCACACTTACTCCTGTTCTCCCAGACCCTTCTCTATTTTTACCATGTTATATTTTGCCTCATATTAGTATTGTTTTTGCTTCATGAAGCAAAGCCATAGAGACAGGAAAAGTATGAGTGCATTTGATGAATTAAGAGTCCCTTTGTGGGGAGCTAGAGTGTATGTAAATCACACAGTGGCAGGAAAGCTGAGGCTGGGAAGCTGGAAGGGTTCAGACTGCACAGAGCTGTACACTGTATCATAACTGATTTGGGAGAACACTAAAGCAATATATTATTGTCACAAATGTTATTATTACTTATACTGCTTAGAGTCAAACTCCCCCATACTAATGACTTTCCTTCAAAAGTCCTTTCATATATATACATATATATCAAATGAGTGAGAGAGAGAATGGTGCATAACTGTAACTTATTAATAAATATGAACATATTAAGGATATGTGTTCCAAAACTTGTTTAGGAACAAATAGATTTGAATGGAAAGGCATATGGTATTAATGAATCATTTAGAAAATAGCGAAGCAGCCCATCAAGTCCAAAGGAGGCTTAGCTGAGGTCTGAGCAGACAGGTCACCTCAGTCAAGGGGACTCAGAAGACCAGCTTCAAAGCCTAACAGTGCAGGTGTGGCCGGGGTGTCTGTCTTCAAAGAGCACAGGCTAGAGCAGCAGAACACTGCACACTTTGGCGACTCTGGATAAATTCTCAGAGGCAACATGCTCTCATAAAGGTCCCTGAGCTGGGCGCCACAAGTCTTCATGATTCTTGTTTCGGCTCCAAGACTCTTGAGTTCTGTGAACTTGGCAAGTCACTAACTCCTCCAAGCATTAGTCTCTCTATGACAGGGAGCACTGTTATCTTAATAGCATGGCCTCCTCACTCCTTCTCTGCCCTTGCAGGACACCCCGTATTCCGCTCTCCCTATCACATCTGCTGTCATTAGCATCAGCTGTATGCAGCCAGCAAAGGCACAGAGGCAGGGGGATGAACTCTGAGACTGGAGAACAGCAGACCAATTTAGAGCGAAGGCCAAGTATATGAACAGCTCCCACCATTTCTAAGGCATCTAGGGGTTTAGCAGTTCTAGACAGTGTTGTTACTACATCTGCTGCATAGACTCAGATGGTCCGACTCTGAGAGGTCACCTCACCCCTGCAGGGTCCCCTGGGACTAAAAATGACCGCAGGCAGGACTCAGCCTCACTCTACCGTCTGGAGCTAGACCATCTTTGCCTGTAAGCGCACAGTCCCACAGGTGGCAGAGGCACTGCCTTCTGCAGTTTGAACCCAAACTCCAGTGTGATTATCAACAATAGTAGCTGAAAACTGAGGGGAGGAGATTTCTTCAACTGAAACCAAGGGCAGTCCTCTGCTCTGCCCTCACTGACTCTCCCTCTAAAGGCAAACGCTGTTGGTTTTTGCCCAACTCAGCATGTCAGAGCTGAAGAAAGTGGTTTTCTGTAACAACCAAAGCTGAGCTTTCCTCACTTCTCACTGTTCTTCCCCACCCCCACCAAACCCCCACCACGCAAAGCTTCTACGTCTCTATGTATTAACAACACGTGTTGCAAAGAAATAAAAAAGCAAAGAGCCATTATTACTCTATCAGCATCATGACTATCATTACTTCTGATTAAAAATATCTGACCACAGGATATAAAAACTGTGAAGCATCTGCTTACAGTTTTAGAGAGAATCTTTGAGATTTTGCTATGGTGCCCACAAATCTGAATTTCCTGCAACTGACGGCGCTTGCTATGCCATTAACACCTGTGAAATGTTCATCTTAATGTACTTAACTCACAGCACTAGACACATTTGTCCAAAGTCAGGAAGCTATGGCAAACCATAGCCTTCT